CCTGGGTTTCTGCCCCGCTGTGCTCTAACCACTAGCCCATGCTCCCTCCCAGAGCTGGAGACCGAACCCAGGAGTCCTGACGCCCAGTTCTCCGCACTGGCCACTAGACCACACTCTCTCCTAAGCTAGGATGAGAACCCAGGAGTCCTGACTCGCAGCCCTCCACTCTAACCACTGAAATTACCGAACAAGACTAGAATAGTCCCACTGTGGATTTCTGCCTGGCCGAGAGCGCCGGAGCGGAGAGCTGGGAGGTGTTCGTCTCGCTTTGCTAGTGACTGAAAAACACACGACAAAGAGGGAGCAGAATTGTTCTGGGCAGCCCGCCGACAGCTCCGCGTAGCCCCGAAAGCGCCAGGCTCGGAGCTAACGGACGCTGCCTGACCGCGCGTGGGAATTCGCTCTAAGAAATGCACATGCTGCGGATGTTAGCTGCGTCGAGGTCGGTCTCCCCTGCACCTGTGAGCTGAGAAGGGCGGGAAGCGGCAGACTGGAGGAACGGAGCGAGAGGCAGGGAGGGGCGTGACCCCCGGGAGCAGCGCTCCAGAAATCCCTGGACAGCCACGGAGACGCCTGAGGCTGCTCTAAGTTATGCTCGAACGCCCCTGGCTCCCTCTGGCCACTCCCCCGCTCTGCCCTCTCAGGCCCCGTCACGCTGCCAGAGCCCGAGTGTAAGTGGGACTCAGCCTCGCTCCCGGGTCACGCTGCTTCTCTACTGGCTCAAGCCCAGCCCAGCACACGCGTGCCCGAGCGGATCACGTGTTCGAGCCCTCGTGCCGTTGTTTACACTGGAGCCAGGCAAGCGTGCAAACCCCTCGCCCCCGTGCAAAGTCTGCTGGTGGGTTTCACACTGGTTTGCACGGGTGTTAGCGACGAGGGCGTCGGAGCCCGGCTGGTTCTGCTGGGGGCCAAGCCATGGTTTGGGATTGATGGAGGGTGTAAGGGGGGGCACTCCAGCCTGTCCCTACCCCCTTTCCTGGGCCCTCGCCCAGGTGGAAAGGATCAGGCCAAAGCCGGGCTGTCTCACCCTGTCTCCCCAGCGCTCAGCACGACACCTGCCGGGTACTCGCTGCAGGGCTCAAGCCGGCTCTGTGCACTGCACGCAGCAGTTGGAGGAGGCGTAAAGCAGACACAGATCAGCAGCTCTGCTTCCTCCCGCCGTGTGTATCTCTCGCTGGGATCAGAACTCAGCCCTGCTGGCAGGACTTCCCTGCCTGCTGGCTACTTGACTGGTAAACCTCAAATCTCTGTCGATAGGGATCACCCACAGATGCTCCTCAGCGGGTGCCCCGATGAATGGAGAGCGGTGATTGAGTGCCTGCGGCATGAGAGCTGCATGGCTGAGATGCCAGAGACGCTGAGACGAGGGAGTCCAGCCTTCTCCTGGGGTAGCGAGGGGGGGCCCGGGAAATGCTGTTCATGGAGTCACAGAAGTGCCGGGTTGGGGGGGACCTCGAGCAGGTCCAGCCACCTCCGTGGAGGCCACCCGGCTCACCCTAGACATGCCCGGCCAGGTGTTTGTCCCAACTGCTCTTACAAACCTCCACCTCCCCTGGAAGCCGGTTCCACTGCCCGGAGAGTTAGAAAGATTAAATCTCCCTTGCTGCCAACTAAGCCCCTTGCATCTTGTCCTCCCTTCGGTGGACCTGGAGAACGCTTGATCCCCGTCCTTTTTATAACAGCTGTTAACCCCAGGTAGCTTCTGGCTCCAAACCGGCCAGCCCTGCTCAGAGGGAACTGCTGGAGCCGAAGGTTAGTGAATAGAGCTGGGGGAGACCAGGGCTAGGATAGCAGGGGGCTGTGGGTCGGGAGTGAGGGGCACTGGCAGGGCTGGGGGGAGCCCAGGGCTGGGCTAACAGGGGGCTGCAGGTCGGGAGTGAGGGGCACTGGCAGAGCTGGGGAGAGCCCAGGGCTGGACTACCAGGCGCTGCAGATCAGGGTTGAGGGGCACTGGCAGAGCTGGGGTGGACCCAGAGCTGGGCTAACAGGGGGCTGTGGGTCGGGAGTGAGGGGCACTGGGAGGGCTGGGGAAGGGGGGAGTCCAGGGCTGGGCTAGCAGGGGCTGCGGGTCGGGAGTGAGGGGCACTGGGAGGGCTGGGGAAGGGGGGAGTCCAGGGCTGGGCTAGCAGGGGCTGCGGGTCGGGAGTGAGGGGCACTGGGAGGGCTGGGGAAGGGGGGAGCCCAGGGCTAGGATAGCAGGGGGCTGTGGGTTGGGAGTGAGGGGCACTTGCAGGGCTGGTGGGAGTCCTCGAGCGGGTCGGGAGTGAGGGGCACTGGGAGGGCTGGGGAAGGGGGGAGTCCAGGGCTGGGCTAGCAGGGGCTGCGGGTCAGGAGTGAGGGTCACCAGCAGAGCTGTGTGCTGGCAATTGAGGGGAAGGGAGGGAAGTACCCAGTCCCTTTATCCCTCACTGCCCACCCTCCTAACAGCTCGCATCTGTCTCCATGGAGTTTGAATACAAAGATTTGCAAAGGCCTGGCGCTGTGCTGCCCCCACGTAGGAACGGCACCAGAGAGCAAGGCCGAGCAGCTAGAGGGGGCCTGGGGAGTCGGGGGCCTGGCTTCTGTCCCCTGGGGAACAAACCTCCACTCCCTCAGCCTCGGTTTCTCCAGCAGTAAAATGAGGGTGACAAAGCGTCCACCTTGACCAGGGCCCCAGGGAGCAGCCATTCAGGGATGGGTCAGCTCCTTGGATTGCAGGTGCCAAGCAAACACAACGCATGGCGGTTCTCCGGCAACACACTCACCCTCCCTTGCCCCTGCTCCCAGAATATCCCCTGCTGGTGGTGGATTGCCTCCCTTTTGTTCCCCCTGGGAAACTGCCATGCAGCCCAGCCCGCAGGGAAAACGGTGTTAAGTCCCCCCCAGGGTTAGCTAAGGGTAGCGGTAGCCGTGTTAAGACCCCCGCCCCATTCAGCTACCAAAAAAGGGGAAGGGTGGAGCCTAGCTCACAGCCCCACCCACAAAGCCTCTATAAAGTCCAATCAGCTGCTCCCCTTTCTCCCCAATATGGCTACTGCTGGAGACCCTAATGCAACAGGTGAGGGTAGTGAGATCCCTAGAGGGGGAGAATCCTATTGCCCTGAGAGGTGCTCCTGTTTAGTTGGCAGCTACTGGGGTGCAGGGGGGCTCCATAGGGTGTGTGCAGGCTGGCCCTAGGCGTGTGGCAGGGCTGGCCTGAGGGCACTGCTGTTTACAGGCTATTTTTAAACTGGTGTCATTCTAGTCCAAAAGCCGCTTTATGGCTTTAAACGCATCGGGAGCGCCTGGGGGTTTCGCCTAAATAAATTACAGGCGCTCCCTGCCTGAGTAATGGATCTAATCCCTGGGTAACTGAATTACCCCATGCTCTGCTAATTGGATTGATCATTGTAACTAGTGAATGAAACTCCAGCCAATCTTTTCAAATCCGATTGTTGGCTGATATGGAACTAATTATCTACTGACCTGGAGGTTGTGAATCAAATCAGAGGTTTACTGCATCTCCAGGGGAAATTGTCTTTTCCCTGCCATCTGGCCTCGCTCTCCAGCCTTCATGATGCCTTGCTAATGGTGGCAGGCAGGAAATGCTCTAGTTGGGGAGGGTGAGCGGCTCTTCTCTGTCACTAACTAAAGACACAAAACAAAACACAAATCTCCTGGGTTGCAAACTTCATCCCCGGTGTTAATCCGAAGGTGGAACATCTGGCCAGGTGTCAGCTCGGCCCATCTGGTCGCTTCCCTGGGGAGGCAGGATGACCCAACGGTTACGGCGCTGTCTAGGACGGGGGAAATCCAGCTTCCGTCCTTTCTCTGCCCCAGGAGTATGACCGTAGCCGCTCGGTGCCAGTTCTCCACGTGTAAAATGGGGATTGTTGCACTTCCCAGCCTCACTGGGCGACTGGGGTAAGAACGTGAGAGGCTCAGATCCTAACAGTTGGGGGCTGGCTATGTACCTGAGATAGACAGCTCAGCAAGGCTGGAAATACCATCTGTCACCACCGAAAGCGGTCAGGCAGCTGCTGGGCTGTGATCAGCCACTGTAACCGCTTCCCCAGGGAGCTGGTACCTTGGCCTCCCTCCCCTCCCCGCTGTCAGAACTTGGGTTGCTGGCGCCTTGAGGTGGGGGCTGGCTTTTCACGGTGGGGGAGGTGCATGGACACAGGATTTCCCGAGAAATTCTAGAGCCTTGAGGCCAGAGGGGCCCATTCGATCACCTGCTCTGGCACAGAGCAGAGGCTTTTGCCCGCTGCCCCCTGGGTGGAGCCGGAGAGCTAGTGTGTGGCTAAGGAAGCCAGGAGACACGGAGCGATGGGTCATCCCCCCACCGCTGTGGGGAGCTGGGTCCAGGGGTTACCCCTCCTCCCTGCCAACTTCTGGGCCTAATTTCCCTTTGGAATCAGCCTGGCTTTGGCTTCCCACTGCGGGTTCTTCTTGTGCCTGGCCTGGCTGGTGACACCAAATCACCTCCCCCATCTTCTCTTGGCGGTGCTGAGCTCTGGGCGTCTCCCCGGGAGCCTTTCCTCCAGCCCTTGTCGTCTCCACTTCCTCCGCATCCTTTTAACGATGCACCACCCCAGGCTGGGCTGCCCCCCTGCCCTGTCCAGAGGGAGAATCGCCCCCCACTGCTATGCCCTGTGTGGGGACATGGCCGTGGCTGGGGACGGTGACGGGGGTGTTTGCTGCTCCTGGCAGTGTGGGGATGTGGCTGTCACAGGTGCAGACCCCCAGCGCCCACCTCAGACCCCTCACCCCACCCCTGGGAGATGCCCCGTTCCCTCCCCCTCCTCCCCTGGCCTGGGGCTCCAGTCGCCCCCCGGCCGCCACCGTCTCCCACCCGGCCGAGGGCAGGATTCGAACCCCTGACGCCCCCACCCCCGGGGCAGGATTTGAACCCGTGAGCCCTCCCCCCACAGATGTCCCCTGGGGGAGGCCTGTGTCCCACGTGACTCGCTCTGTGTGTGTATGTGGGGGGGGTCGCTTAGCCTAAGCCCCAAAGGATTCTGGGAAATGTCTCCCCACCCCGTTGAGCCCTGTGGCGGTCAGTGTCTCTTTAAAAACAAGATGGCCCCCGGCCGGGCTCTCCCCGGCCCGTTCGCGCCACTTCCGGGGGCGGGGCAGAGTGGCCGGAAGTGGGTCGCGTTTCCAAGATGGCGACTCCCTATGTGACTGACGAGACCGGTGAGTGCGGAAACCGCTTCCGGGAGGGGAGCGCCCCCCC